AGCGTCATGTAATATAAGAAATTTCAATTGGAGAAAAATGAACTAGATTCTCTATAAGGAATTTGTTAAATTTGTTTCTTCGTTATATCTATTTTGATTTTTTTGCATACATTTCATTTAAGTACGACTGTCAATGCATAAAAACAGATATCACACATACAGATTCATTTCTAGGATCCCTCCGTTAAATTTTAACGGAGGTTCAAACCTCGATTAACTTAACAGACAGATTCAGCTGTTAAAGTGGCAGTTAAAGTGAGCGTTAATTTTGAGCAACAGAATTTAACACAACGGTTGAATTAAACCGTCCGTTAGTGGATTTAACAGACGGTTAAATTTAACAGAGCTTTGAGAAACTGGCCCCAGGTTGTTAGGCTGTTAGGCTGCTAACTTCACAAATTTCGAAGTGTCAAAAAAGCACAAAAAAACCAACAAACAAAGTTCAATATTTAAAAAAAGAAAGATCGCGATACTGAAATAAGACGTGGAATGGACTAAATATGTGCTTCCGATTCATTTCCGACGGTTTTCATGTTTGTATTATCCTTAGTTTTCTATAGGCTGCTAGGCTGCTAGGCTGCTAACTTCACAAATTTCGAAGTGTCAAAATAAAAAAAAACAAAGTTAGTTATTTAAAAAAAATAAAGAACGCGATACTGAAATAAGACGTGGAATGGTCTAAGTATTTGCTACCGATTCATTTCCGACGGTTTTCATGTTTGTACTTTCCTGCTAGGCTGCTAACTTTACAAATTTCGAAGTGTCAGAATGAAAGAATTATGTTATTGTAAATAAGATAAAGTTCAACATCTTAAAAAATAAAGATCACGATATTGAAAAAGGCGTGGAATGATCTAAAGAAGTGCTACTAATGTATTTCCGACGATTTCATGTTTGTACTATTCTTAGTTTTCTTTAGGCTGCTAGGCTTCCAGGCTGCTAGGTTGCTAGGCTGCCAGGCTGTTAGGCTGCCAGGCTGCTAGGCTGCTAGGCTGCCAACTTCGGGCTGCTAAGCTGCTAAGCTGCCAACTTCATGAACATAATTTTCAGTGATAATTGACTCCGTTGTCACCTTAAAGATGACACTAAACTTATACATGAAATATATATCAGTTGGTTTTAGGTTATGTTTTCTTTTTTGAATCTTAAAAAAGATCAGATCATACAGAATAATTGTATCAAGTAGCTATTTAAAAGGAATATAGACAGAAAACAATAAATTATTTTTTACAATGTAACGTGTGTTAAACAATGTGTTATTGTCATATGACCTCTAATCCCAGAAATAGATATGTACAACATTCTAAACATGTATAAGAGTTATGATTCTTCTGAACAACTTGCTTATTCTAACCGCCTCCGTGGTTTATAGTTAGAGTCGATGACTTCTAATCCAGTTACCTCTCTGGCGTGGGTTCGATCCCGGGAAATGCTTTGGTAGTTTAGCGCGGAGGAAGGTAGTCTGGTACTGGTGTAACTCTCCAGGAACGATGGTTAGGAAACTACCCGCCTATATGACTGAAATACTGTTGGGAAAAGGCGTAAAATGATACAAACAAACAAAGGAAATCTAAAGAATCCATGTAACTACTGCATGTATAATCAACTAGAACATCATAAATAATCGCTCTTGCGCTAAGATATTCTTATCAGAATGGTCCTGACAACAAGTTTAAAATTCAGTATTAGAATGATTGTAAATGATCTTTAAACCTTTTTACATAAAGTTTCATGAAATTTAATTGCATTAGAAATTTGAATTCTTTGAAGCCAGAACAATTATTCCAAAATAATTTAATAAAGTGATATTAAAGTTAGTGTTTAAAGACCATGCAAAGAATGATAATTGTGTTTGAAAATGTTTTTAGTTATGTAAAATGTCATGTATTTCAAGTTGATCATGATAACCTTAATTCAGAAGTAATTAAATAAAAGTGTGCAGTCCTTATACTCAGAATAATCGTGATTAGAAGTAAAAAACATATCTTTATTCATGTTTAGAACGGGGAAAAACAGGAAGATCATTTTTTTATAATTAATGTTAATGCCTGCTCATTTTTTATTGTATCGCATCATTAAGTCCTCGATGTGAAACTGGTAAGCACAAATATCCGTTTCTTTTTGTATCATTCCTATATTGTGCCGTACCATACGGAAGGAATAGAGCCGTATGATAATCACTCTGGTAAAATTCAATAGCAAGACATTTTTTATCGGAGCGAGAAGAGTTAACATAGCGTCTCCAGACCGACCTCAATAGTTATCAACGTGCGACCGATAATAAGTTGACACTTGTTAAAATCCACCCGCTGGTGTTAATGTGGTCTACCACATTCTTTGTTGATTTTACACATTTGAAGAAAAAATGGCCAGTTTCTGGAGCTAAAATGCAAATATTAAGAGGATATTTTTCCGTTTTTCGTGAAATATTGAATATATTTTCACGAAACATGATAAAATGCCACGTATTTACACGAGCCGGGACAACATTTTATCATGTTGAGAGAAAATATATACCATATTTCACGAAAAACGAAAAAAACTTTTTTATTTAATTTTATTTTCAAAGAAGGTTACGAATCCCCTTGCTTGCTACGCAACTGCCATTGTACAGCGCGCTGTAATATATTGATTAATTATAGATGCTTGACGCGGTTCAATACACATATTTATTTTTATGTGTTCATTTTATTTCATTTTATTATTTTTTTAAGCGAAATAGAGTATTTATGGTGAAATAAATGTAATTTTTATTGGTTTTCGGCATTGAAATAGCGGTCTTGTTTTGACTGTTTTTGCACGCGCTGTTTGGCGCTACATTGTGACGTCCCGTAAACAACTCTTTAAACGTCTGGACAGCGTTAATGACTGAGTTAAAGATATCGGTTTCCGGATTAATTTTCTTAGTAAAACCATTTTCTATCATTCTAGATAGTTTTCAAAAAATTTCAACAAAAAGTTGTTTTTTATTTATCAGATACTTCAAACAAAATGTCGACAGAAGTTCCTTAAAAACGATATGAGTTTTGACTCCGCCAATTTTCATATATATATTTCTTTTTTTTTTTAAATATGAACTATATTTGACTGATATATCACCATATATTATTGGTAAAATTAAATGAAATTAAAAACCTATCGCAAATGGCGACAATTGCAACCAACAGCGTTAGTTTGATATGACCTAGACCACCCAATTCACTAGACACTACTGCTTTATGGCCAAGTTCAATTGTATAGAAACCAACAAAAATATCTACTGTTCCTACTATTAAGTGTAGCATTAATGCGGTGGCATAGCATTTTTTGACAAGTGTAATCCTTTTTCTCCCAACATTAAAGTAGTAAAAGGCGCTTAAAACCCAATACCTTTTATTAATGTCTAAAACATAATCAGAAAAAGGATTATCAGTGGACTTTTGAATATTATAGTTTTGACAAAAATTATTTTAAAAGAAACTAGACAACGTTTGGTTACACATGTACTTGAGCTAATCATAAGCGGATTATATTTAACTGTTATCAAAAAATATTGTTTTGCTGCTGATTGGATTGTGAAAACGTGTAGAGTTTGATACATTTTTCTTTAAAAATAGCAAAATATAATTGAAATGACGTCAGCATGGGCGACGCCGTTTTGAAATGGACTTCACGTCAGGTTACATAGGAAAAGATGTAATTTTAACATTTTAACAATATTATTATTGTTGTTGTTGTTGTTTTTTTTGGACAAAAAAAAAAATGAAAAACATGTCTAAAGATAATAACTCTTGACATGAATTTCTATGAGTATATTATTATATTTAATACAAAATGAAATGTTTAGATTTTGTTGGACAGACTGTAATTAAATGGTTATATTTTAACAGATTTGAACAAAAAATATTGTCAGACAGTTGCTGAATTGCAGATTAAATAAACATGGCTAGTTTGAATAAAATGTATTCTTACCTTTTAAGTACCAGTTTGAAATTGTTCCACATTTCCCCGCTGTATTAGCGATAACATACTTTCCCATTAAACCGAACCATTTCTCGTCAATGCCAAGGTATTCATCACAAATAGGTGTTTCACCTTGCGAAAGATTGTATCCAACAATTCGTTGATTTATAAATGGGAGGTCGGTAGCATTGTCACATGGGTCTGTTAATTTAGAAATTAATAAAACATTATTATCTAATGTCATTGTATATGAATTTTTATTTACAATTTCAGATCACTTTAATTTTAATCAGGGATGTTAAATATAATAAATTTTAGTGTATCTCTTTTTGCAAAAAAAGAGTCACTCTTAGTATATCCATAGGTCTAAGGATTTCGGATATATGTGTTCGAGCCGTATTTTCACCGTACACGTTTGTTGACGACAATAGGTCAAAAGTCACTCAACCACCACCGGTTTTTCAAATATTCTTATTTGGAGAAGAAAAGTCGAAAATAAAAATCATTAAGTAACTTCTCGTATCTGACTTGAATAAAAAAGTTTAATAATAATAATAATAATAAATGGCGGCTATCTCTGCAAAATAAACGAACTTACCTGCACTAAAAGACAAAACTGTAGTTACTTGAAATATGGTTAGCAAAATCGTTAAAATAACAGCAATCAACATTGTGCATAGTCGACAAGTCAACTAAGACTGACTACCTACGACGATATACCTGAGGAAAAATAATAAAATTCACATGTGCTTGATTTTTTGAAAAAAATCTCCTTTTATCTCATAAAAATCTTGAAATATACCCCTTCAGAGAATCGGGAGATTAAAAAGTAACCGGACTATGTCACTTTTGTTTATTCTTTGCATTTTATGCACAGATAAAACATTATTCAGAGATCATCTCGAGATTAAAATGTATTTGAAAATACATTTTTCATCGTTGTGCAAACTGTCTTAGATAATTTTAATTCCATATCGACGTTTCTGTTGCACAATATGATTAAATATTAGATAAATTGTAAAAGGCAGATAAAAAACGGACCAAGGTATCGTTTCATTATCAGTATGACAATTATCAAGTACTTCCCGATTTGTAAGCTTGACTTTTAAGCAGATTATTCATGGTTATGCATTGAATTCGAATGTAAGGATGAAACTGAAAATAGTATTATTATTGTGGATAATAAAATATGGTAGGTAAAATTTTAGCTTTACGCATACATTTTGAATTTATCAATCATCGTTGTAATTTCTTAAGAGACTACGATTTCCATACTGAACAGCTGAGTATAATAAGACAAATTTACTTAATATAAATCGGCCGTTTTAAATGATGAAAAAGCACACCAACTACCGACTATAGAAATCTTATCTATTGGTAATATAAGTGCGACTTTTTATGTCTTATTAAGAAAATATTAACTTATCTTTAGAACTATCTTATTTAAATATAATATATCGACATTACGGCAATACGGCTATTTAAACATGGGCTCCTAAGAGGAAATATATTTGCATCTATGCCACTCCAGTACTCAATATTTGGGACATTTTATACTCAAAACTTCCATACATATTTAGGGAAAAAAAATCATTACCAAAACTCTTATTTGGTATTGCATCTTGTTCAGATAAGAAACAAATAAAATGGCATTAATTATGCTTAATTGTCATATTATGTCAATTTGATCTGATATTTATTTGCATATTTCACTTTTGTGAAATAAGATTTATTTTGTAAAACATATCTATACCTCGTTCCAATCAATAACCAATATAATATAATATTATAAAATGACATTAGCTTATGATCTTTTCTATATGTCTTAGAACGTTAAATACAAGGTATGTTTAAGATACTATTCTGGTACTGTAAACAGGGTGCTGGTTCATTAGAACCAACAGAAAGTTTTCGATTCCCTTATATAGTTACCGTCGGATTTACGTCAGAATGAGTTATAATCTAAGCGTATACTTGTTTTTTTTTATAAATATATATTTGCCTATAATTTTCAGGGCTTTCCACTAACAGGTGTTTTAGTGTTTTGCAAATAATAGTCCGTGTTTACCACAATCAAAATTTATAAACGAATCTACTGTATTAGGGTCACACCGACATACTTAGTAACTAAGTCATATAAAATATGAATGGATCATTCTGCATTATGTTTTACTAGTCTTTGCAATGTAAAATGAGTCATACATAGTGGGTAACAAGCTTGGGTTTTATGCAAGTGTAATTGCTGCAAAAGAAATGGTGTAACGCAACAGCTGTGCACTGCATACCTTGAGACGGGCCGAATAAAATGCTACATTGCAATTGACGAATGTGCTTTTGTAAAAATCGAAGTTAAAGAAGAAGCATTACGAAACGAAAATTACATTACCAAATATAAAAGCAATACCGAAGCATACATATTACCGAAGAAACCGGTTAAAACGGCATACAATCAAACAACTAATAATATGAGGGAAAAACAGTATTTGTCATAATAATGAACAGCGGGTGGTCTATAGGGCAACATATATCAATGGCACGACTGTCTTTGTTAAAATAACTTTTCTGAGAAAACGGTATGTATGAGCGAATGTTCTGAACTTGTACACACAAGTTGGTGGTAATGATGTACAATAATTGGTATATAAATATCGCAAACATATTTTCAGTCTCTTTTTTAATTATATTTTAACTGAAATCGGACAACATTATGATACCGTTTTCGGTGAGTTTATTTAAACTAATGAACGTCAATATCGGTATGTCTCATTGATACTGATTTGTTTTATATTTAAGTTCATACCTTGAATCCCTGCTTACCATCCGGACATTCAAAATTTCCTAGAGATAGCATTGGTCTTCGCAATGAAAACTGCACAATACCAGGTTCCCACGAGCAGATTTGTGACAAATACCTCGACTCGCCAACATGGTATATCATAGAGGATGGCAAATTACTGAATCATTGTCCGAGCAAGGGCTCATGTGGAAACGCCTATCCTGCGTGGATGGATGGTATGTTAATATCATACAACACAAAAGTGTTTCATAACTTTGTTAGGTGTGAATAACCGTCTTTTACATTCTTTTAAAAAATTATTTGTAAACGCTTATACTAGCCTAATAAATGAGGTTTTTTCTGGGATTTGTTTGTATTTCTTTGTTCAAAGTAAAAGCTAGAGATGACAAATGTTTCTTTACATGTGTACTATAAAAAATATTTTTAAGACGTTTGGAGGCATTAACAGCCTCCAATACTATAAACAAGCTGTCTAAATAGTCGACGTATGATGAGTATTTGTTTAACATTGTTTATTATATGAATAAAAAATGTTAAAGTTTTAGGGTGACCTTTGGTACAGATCTAAAACTATGTCAAGTTATTGATCTTTTACTTACGCAGGTTCATATCCGACTGAAAAAGATGGCGTTATTGATTTGACGGCGTGTATAAAAAGAGATAATGACTGCTGTAAAGATCACGTGACAATGAGAGTAAAGAATTGCTCGACCTTCCTTGTTTATCATTTAAAACCGTTAAAAGAATGTACAAGTGCATACTGTATTGGTAAGACTATTATAATTACAGCTCAAGAAAGCTAAGTTAAGTCACAAAGTTTCGAAAATGAGCATGTTCTTGAAAGAACAAAATTTCAGAATATCAAGACCCATTTTCTGTTCTTCACGAGGTAATTATATGAAATATGTGGACCGTTCAAATTTTGATGCAGTATTTCGCGTTCATTAACTCGAGATTTGAAGACATATGTTTTGTTAACATTGTATGGTTCCGTCAATCATATATTGTATAATAATGCAATTTATCACATATGCGTTCCGTAAAACGATATATCTTGACGTGACGTCATATGCGCTACACAAAGTGTACTCACTAATGAAATTCTAAAAATGTACAATTTTTCAGTAGATTAATTAAAACATTTATCTAACACGAGGTATAAAACAATAAAACATGCTCCCCAGCAGATCTCAATATATAATCTTATTCATTTCGTTCATTATAAACATCCTCCATCTCTTGCACAGTCTATTCAAAGTAGGAATTGTTAGAATCAAGGGTAACAGTCTGTAATAAGTAAATTAAGAACAGTTCAAAAGTATCACAACATAATGGAAAGTGCTTTGTAGCTCATAGGATATGTCAAAACAATCTTAAAAAGATCACCAATGCCATACTTTATCTAGTTTATACCACGAACACAAAAACTGCAAACAAAATTTATAGATACTAATTAAAGCCGATTTTTAACACAGCAACAATGTGTACATAAAAACTATATCTAAGATAACTAAACTAAAGTTTGTGATAGGAAATATGTATATATCCTTGCTAAGACACCGTACTTATGCTCTAGTGCTACCTTATACACACCAAGTTAGCATCATTAAAATTAACATTATCATCATTATTATCATTTACTATTGTTATTTCTGTTGTTGTAAAAATATCATTAGACTTTTCTTTATTAATTATTTCAGAGTCGGATCTACCATGTAGGCCTCCTACTACTACTACACAGACAACAACAACAACAACAACAACAACAACAATTACAACATTGACAGCAGCAGCAGCAAAGAAGATAAATACAACACAGTCAGGTAAAACGATTACTATATTCTTACCTTTGACATTCCACACAAAATGGAAAGAATAATGGTACATAACATATGTCCAAGTATTCGACATTAAGCATAAAGCTTGTCCGGCTTTCACAGTTCATACTGCTAATGGGATTACAACCACACTTTGCAGGAGTTATCGGTACCATCCCTAGTTGTGCATAACGCCGACATGTTCCGCTTTGCTGCACAAAATGGCAGCCAGAGATAAAAATAGTAAAATCTTGTCCGGCTTCAAAGGTCAAACTACTGGTGGGATTTTAACCAAACTATGCAGGAGTGATCAGTACCATCTGTAGTTGTGCATATTGTAGGCACGCTCAGCTTCGCAACACAAAAGGGCCATCATAGCTAAAAATAAAAATAATCTTCTCCGGCTTTCAAAGGCTAAACTTCTGGCGGAATTGTGACATAACTATACAGGAGTGATCAGTATCATACTTACTTTTGGAAGACATATGTTTTTGTGACAAAAAACCCTTATCTATAACAGTAAGAAAAAACAAACCCATGATTCTCGTGTGAATATATAAAGTATGTAAATCTAACCAATAAAATACTCGCATTGTAAGTAAAAGCAAATTTGTATATACATATTTTTTCAGATTTATTTCAAACATTTGTGTGCACCGTATCATTAAAAATAACAGTTTGTTCATTACCATTTATACATAACTTCATGAAAATATGCTTAAACAGTACTGCATGCACTAGATACATTGGACATAGTAAATCTATAACATTAAGCATTCTATTAAACAATGAAAAAACACAGATGAATTTCTAGAAATGGTTTGTTGTGATAAATGAGTGTGTACCATCCCCCTCGGCCCCGGCTATGATAAAATAACTGTACTCGAAAGTCGTCAAAAACCATTCACTTGATTTAGGGAGCTTACATAATTACGCGTTCTCTGTGCCTTGTCTGCTCAAAATCGGTTGAGTAACAGCAAAGTTGTTAATAAAAAACATACATGAATCGGGTGAAAAATCAACGTGTACCGTACCCTAAAAGTCACATGATATGGCCACATTGGAAATGGTACGTAAAGTAGGTGGAGTTTAAAAATGCTCGAAGATACAGATCCAGACTATTTTTCAAATCGTGTTCATTCTTCTTTTGCTTATTGTGAGGATAGCTCAAGATAAACAGACTCTTCGACCTTATAACGGTTTTTACTACAAATCAGTTATTGTCATAGGAAACTTAATACTTACACTCTGAAACCAAATTAATATTCCTTTAGCGTTTTTCGTTTCTAGCGTGTAGTCACAAACATTCCGAACATCTTTTACAATGATGAACGTAAAGATCAAATAATGCATTCCAGAATTTGTGCTAAATTAAAAAGGTTTTGCATCTGATTTGTTCGATGAAATATAGTTGAGTGTCCGTTATGATTTTTAAAAGTCCGCCATTTCTCTTTAATTTGACATCTACCTTCACATTCTTATATTGATATTTGATCAGGGACACTAAAAAGATTATAATAACGCTTGTAAAGTACTATATTTTATCCTACAGTATTCATAATAGTTCGCGTAATTTTCTACTGACGTATTTTATTAACAAATGAAAGATGTAAATGACTTATTATCATGCATAACACCACTTTACATCCGCATATCTACCCATTTTATACTATTTATCTATTACTGCATATAAAGAAAATATTGTTTTACAGTTTTTATATGCCCGAAAAAAATTGTGTTATACCCCCTGGTGTCCGTCTGTCCGTCCGTCCGTACGTCCGTCCGTCCGTTAGCAATTTGGTTTCCGGAGCATAACTTAAATTCCATTTGGCCCACAGTATTCAAACTTCATAGGATGATTGTCCATATTGCGTCGAAGACCCCTATTGATTTTGGGGTCACAAGGTCAAAGGTCAAAGTCATTATTACTTTAAAACTGAAAACGGTTTACGGAGCATTACTTAAGTTCCATTTGGCCAATAATATTCAAACTTCATAGGATGATTGTCCATATTGGGTAGAAGACCCCTACTGATTTTGGGGTCAAAGGTCAAGGTCACTATTACCGTTAAACTGAAAACAGTTTCCGGAGCATAACTTAAGTTCCATTTGGCCAAAAGTGTTCAAACTTCAAAGGATGATTGTCCATATTGGGTAGAACACCCCTATCGATTTTAGGGTCACAAAGTCAAAAGTCAAGGTCACTATTATTTTAAAACTGAAAATAGTTTCCGGAGCATTACATAAGTTCCATTTTGCCCACAGTGTTCAAACTTCATAGAATGATTGTCCATATTGATTTTGGGGTCACAAGGTCAAAGTTCAAGGTTACTTTTGCCTTAAAACTAAAAACAGTTTCTGGAGCATAATTTAAGTTCCATTTGGCCAACAGTGTTCAAACTTCATAGGATGATTGTCCATATTAGGTAGCAGACCCCTATTGATTTTGGGGTCACCAGGTCAAAGTTCAAGGTCATTATTACCTTAAAATTGAAAAAAAAATTTGGAGCATAATATAAGTTCCATTTTGCCCACAATATTCAAACTTCATAGGAGGATTGGTATTTGAAGGAGGTAAAACTTTATTTCATTCCCATGTCTAACAAATGCTTTATCCTTACTTAAAAAAAAAACACTTTCGGGCATATAATGCTTCGCCTAGCGGTGCTCTTGTTGACAGGATATAGGAAAAAATCTTGTTATAAAAAAGTCATGTTTTATAATCATGAAATTCCTTTGTTACAATGACATATCACCAGCCCAATTTCTTTCTGCATGCTGTGTAAATTAAAAATTATTCATACAGTATATAAGATGAAGAAAATATTTGTTTTTCAAATTGCATAAATTGCATTTAATCTAATGATAGTTCAAATTAACTTAAAGTACATCACAAAACTGGTTTTTTTTTCAGGTTTAAAAGGAAAGGATAAAGCTCTTATAATTTGTGTCAGCATCATTGCAGCTGCTATTGCTGCTTTAGCTGTGGCATTTGCATGTAAAAATAAAAGTAACAGGTATATTGTTTTCTTTTCCAATATTATGACCAATCATGTTTTTAATGATATGATATTATGTTATGTTATGTTATGTTATGTTATGTTGTGTTATATCATATCATTTCATTACAAAAAGCTGCATGTTAGCCAAGCAGGGAAAGGCATTTCAAAGCTATTTATAGTATATATATTATATCATATTATTTTATTTATTTTTGTAGTGTTTTATTACATATTTTTGTATTATTTTATGTTATATTAAAAAAGAATAGTAATGATTCGAGTGCGAACAGCACATTGAACAAACAATAAGATGTTTCGTGAATGCATAACAACAACAGAAGGATACTACGTCATTCCGCACCTGCAAAATGCTTGCAAAAGGACTGTTTGTTTAATGCGCTACATTATTTTTGATATTCTAACAATTTTCTGGAAGGAAAACATATTTTATCTTAGAGGCGACGGGATGTTCACCACCCCCCCCCCCCCCCCCAAAAAAAAAGAAAAGAAAAGAAACAGTCCGATTGGGGGCACTTTCCAGCTACGCGATGGCGTAAAATGAAATCTTTTAAGATATTTTTCTCTGAAGCTAAGTTATTTTGTGTGTGGCATCATCTCATTAAACACTACAAAGTTTTTTCAAAGTAAAGCCCTGGGCTCAATCTTGGCTTCGCCCCAGGGGTCATTGATTTTCCTTAAATAGTAAATACCTCCCTTTTTCTTAATTTTCTCTTTCTTTTTTTTCTTTTTTTTGAAAACTACAAAAGCTATATCTTAGATATTAAGCAGGTAACATTGGCCTGTGGGCCGCTACAAAAATTGTTCAAGTTATAACCCTTCGGTCAAAATTGGCACCGACTCGGGAGAACATAGATTTTATAAATGTATATATAGTAAAAAACATTCTATACTTAAGCATTCTATACTAAAACAACAAGAGCTAAAGCTTACTTTTAACTACTAAACCATTACTAAATGTGTTCAAATGATAGCCTTCGGTCAATATTTGCCCCGTCCCAGGGCGTCTTTGATTTTCCTTATATTGTATATAATAAAAACTTTTTGTCCGGTAACATGTAAATTAATGACATGGACATCAGTGAAAAATGGTCATTTTAATTTGTGCTCGTAGAGCGATTGATTTAATTAGTCCGAGTGCTTAGCAGACGAAATGTACGAAATAAGTGCCCTACTGGGATCCTACATATTACCGGAAAAATATGATGGTTTTTTTTTGCTGTAACTTGTATTTAAAACAATAAAAAAGAATTGTAATTTACCCAAATAATTTTGGGTTCTTAATACAAGTAAATATTACGTAAACATTACTTTAACAAACATGAAATTAAACATTTGACCGTAGAGATGTGTCTTCGAAGTAGGGCATTATAAGAGAGAAAAAATCGTGTAGACAGCTCATTTTAACGGACATTGCGTTTCAAAATTTTTTGAAGTCGTGAATTGAAATTAATTTTTAAAAAATCAACAAGGAAATTACGACAATTTAAAGGCAAGGTCAAGATATTGGAAAAAACCAGTATGTAACTAAAACTAGACACGACAGCCATGCTTGTTATGAAGAGGCCAATATATGGGGTGTAATTGAAATATACACTATTAACTCAATTAACGTATTGATTCTTCATATCTTAAACGTATGAAACAATTTGATATTCAAATGGGATTTTGTTCTTAGACTAACAGTTTCCTTTTGGTCATCATGTAGCATGTTACAAAAGCCATAAAATCTATTTTATATACATTTCACGTAGAGTTTCCTTCCACAGGCGTAACCCGTTTCCTTATATGGCTTTTAATTTGCATTTTTTTTGTAAACGAGATACTGTTTGGACTAAATTTAAAATCAATTTTAATCATTGAAATATGTTACGATTGTCTCCTGAGATAACGTTGTGAATAAATAAAAGTAAAACCTATCTAAAATAACCAATTAATGGCCTCTCAATATTCGGGTATGCGCATAACAGATTATTCCCCTGCATGACCAGGTCATGAAATAGCTAGTAAACAAAAGGGTATGTAAGTAAATAAAGAACCGAATCAACAATATTTTCCTGAGAGTTGTTTTGTTGTTATATAATTTGAAAAAGAAAGTGTGTGTACCATTCAGACCGGGTGATTTTTTAATCGAAGCAAAAAATAAAGCACTATCGACAGGAATAGATATTGCCCGGTAAATATAAAGGATCCCAGTATCGCTTTTTTAGCATAAAAGAAAACGGCTGAAATTTCTAGAACGCGTAATCCTTTCCTATCATGCGAACCTCTTATATAAGAGTCGAGCTTCTTATACGTTCTTAAACTTTCTCATATTTTCTTGGTATATTTAAAGGTTCTATTGAGTTTGTTTTATTTAATAATGTTATGCGTGACATTATCTTAATAACTCAAAACAGTATATAAATTTTAAATTGTATGTTATATGTATAGATAATTCATATTTTGTATTACTCTAATTTAATCACACACACGCGCGCGCACTATCGCACGCACGCACGCACACACACATTCACACGTGAATGTACCGAATTCTCTATTATAATATTCTATTCTATTTAAGCTTTAGGTGCAAAGTGGGAGCAGCAAATGGAGGCCTAACATCCCAAAACTTCAAGCAAGTTGCAGAGGCAGGGCAAAATCAACAGCAAACATAAAAGAACCGCAACAGAAATATTTCAGCTACACTTCTTTTCATGTTTTTGTTTATCTTGTTTTTTCGGTAATGCTAATGTTTTTACGTTTTGCAGATTGCATTTTATTTTTACAAATGATTGTCATTCAGATTCATACAATTGACTCGCAATAACTCATACTCGCTTTACTTAAAATTCCGCGTAAGTCCCGTCAAAGTTCCATCTTATCTTTAAATCTTTACTTTGTCTGAGACAACTTTTGAGTTTCTAGGACTCCGGATGTGTCGAAGGGAATTTTTGGTCCCAACTATTAACTTTTAACATATTTTCTTTTCAATAAGTCCAAGTATGATGAAAGGTTGGCGAAACTGCTTCATATGTCATGATTATTTGTATTTTATAACTGACTTTACACGCTGTTACAAATACTTTTATTAGTATTATATTATATTTAAACGGTCAGATAAATAAAATACAATAAAATAGAAAGAAAAAAAACTTAATACACATTATTACTTATCAAGGCACATGTTATTTGTGTGATATATTTTCCTGTGTTACATGTTAATGCTGACCATGTTCTTATATAGCATTGATAAGTGATTTACATTTTATTACGAGTAGACCTACAACTTCAGACCAGCGTATGCGTAGGACTAGCACCTGACGTTTGTTGTTTCTTGAACATTTTCTTTTCTAATATCTGATATGTTTTTTTTCTTCATTCGTTAAGTTATAAAATATAAAAATATTCGTTTACAATATAAATCAATATATTTTTGTAAAAAATGTTTGAAACAGTTATGATCGTCGTCTCTTTATTTTGTTTTAACTTACTAGTATATTCATTCGTTAAGCTTTAACAAAGACCGATATTCTATTTAGTTTAAAATTATAAAATACCGCTTATTGTACTGCTTTCCTATTTATGTAACAAGACAAATCCGATATGATATTCTTTGCAAGTATAGTACAAATAAACATTCTATGAACTTTGAAGGATTGTAAATATGGCTGTCAAAGACTTGATTTTTATTTGTTGGGTCGTCAGACCAAACAAATAATGGTAGCAAAATTTCAGACCATGATGCTGTTAATTGCAAATGCCGAAAGTAGTCCGCTTTTTTTGAAGCGGTTACTTCCCTTCATATGTACATTAACGCCGAAATTTAAGGGAAGACCACTGCGTTAAGATTGTCAAACGAAAAAAAAGTTCCCAATTGGTAGAAGATTTCTAATATTGCATTATTCTTACAGATATACATGCTTATATTCAGCTCCATGATTATTTACTTCAGTGTTAAGCAACAGGTTTACCGTGAACAAAATACATCGAAATTAATAAGGGTTACAAACTTTTATTAAGAATAATATTGTATTCTTCAGGCTGTTTATCTTATAACTCTCCGTGGTCGAGAGGTTTTAACAATCGATTTAGAAGCGAGTGGTCCGGAGTTCGAATCCCAGTTCAAGCTACTCATGTCTTTTTTTTTTTTTTCTTCTTTTTTTTTTTTTTTTTTTTTTTTTAATTGATTAAGCCAAATAAACATTGAATTGAATATCAGTGTTGCAATTAGTCTTATAGCAACTATAGTTATAACACTGGAAACAGAATTTGGTGACACTTTACAAACAAAGTGGTTAATAGTCTTACAACTTTACCTTTCTGACATTCTGAGACCCAAACAAATCCAGCGCCTTCTGTGCTTTGATTTAGAAGTGTGATAGCTATGTTACAATCAAGGGTTATTGTATATGGATATTGACGGGTTTTGTTTGTTTCAATGTTTCCTCGTTGCAAATATTGTTCAATATATTTTTGTTCCAAGTTTGATACGTGTATATTCAACTTTTCAAATGGCCGAATATATTAACAAATATCATTTTTACACATTTTATATAATTGAAAACAAAATGATTCATTCATCATACAGTTTAAAAGGATCTTGTATTCATTAGCAATGTACAATGCCAAAGGTATGTATTCCATCAATACAAAGCACCCAAGTCACTTGCTGAAAACTTCTATGCTCTTGAAGAAACGCACAGTGACTGTAAGACGTGACGGAGAAAGTGTTTGAATCACTGGTGAAATATATTTCGACGAAATTGCATTAAAACATGAGACCTGTATTACCATGGAAAACATATCTATTGTATTATGCGGTCAAACAAATACTTTTTGTAATAAAACGTTAGTACAGAGATTCTTGACTTTAAGGTTATTCATACTTATGTGTTGATTTTTGCTTAAGCCGGAGCTCTAGTGGGCGAAGACGGTGGCATGCACCTATAACCACCGTCCATGAAAAGGCTCAAGTAAACCGAGCCTGAAACTAATGCAACTTAAGTAAAGTGTGAATTTTGGTCAACAATATGTATAACAATATTTATATATAAAGAAATAAAAAACAACAAAAAAACAACATTGTTTTCATAAAATGAAAATGTCTATACGGAAACACATTGTACATAATTACGAGTGCTGTCCCAATAGTCATAGACAACAGCTTTCACATTAAAAATACTCAAAGGAATTCTTAAAACATTCATTGGTATTTAATACGCCATCGCTGATAAAAACAGCATGATATGTTTAATTTGATTATACGAAACAAATTACATATATCAGACTACCGGGTAACGCAATTCGGCCCACATTCCTACGACATAAATACATTACGTGACATTATGTTGATGTTTTTCCTTTTCAAAATATCACCTCTGTAAGGAATACACTCTTGATGTCAAATCTTTGATGTCCAACCACCTTCTTATACGAGAGATACACATATTGTCTTTTGAAGTTCTCAGCACACTCAATTTTAAACAGTCTAAACTTTCTGAGATACTGAAAGCTGTTTGATGTCTGCCTTCATCAACAATGTTTCAAGTCCCTCACTTTTAATCATCGCTTGACTACGGGCATCCAACATTTGTTTCTTTTGTGTTTATCACCTGTTACATATTTCTTATGTCACTTGTATAACAACGATCGCAAAATATTTCGGTATTTCTTGGCAGTTTTTAACTATTTTTAAGATGATTATAAGAAACATTTAGCACTAAATGCCGAAATCGATAACCATCTGCCGGGCCGCGTTAGCGTCAAGGTTGCCATTTTTGTTGTGTTTATATTAGCACTGTATTAAACAAAAGATACACTGTAAACATGTATGCATTACGATATTCTTGAAATTTTGCCACGTACCTTCAGACATACGTTAAAGGCAACGTCATAACATTAGGCAGTTTTCTAATACGTACCACTGTTTTGTAGATGATCTGTTACGTTTGTAAATGAAGTTTTTTGCCCGCATACACGCCGCCGCATTCACACACCTCAGAAACTGTATTAATATTTCAATATTGAATATATGTAAAGCATTACTTATTTTGTTACAAATTGATGGATATAAACGTGTGCAAAATAATTTTACACGCGGGCGTTATATTTTTGTTTTAAAGCTATTGTCCATGACTTTGTGGGACTGCCCTCGAATATGACAAATATGAATCGACATCTTTTTAATGAAATATTTATGCTTTCGATAATTTACTACGAATGTTTTCTAACGGTGTTAGCATAGTACTAAATGGTTTATTCAATGTTTTTCGTTTAAAACTTTCTGAGTCCGAATGGGAGTATCTCCGAAATCGCGTTCTGCTTGGAGCATTTTCCATGTTTATCAAAAAGAAGAAATCTGACTTTTGAATATAAATATTTCAAACCAATCTCGTAAAATGTGTACAAATTATTCGGTTTATGCCCAGGTATAGACTGGACTGAATTTTGCACTCTATAAGATTGTAGTACAAGTGATATCTTGATTTTTCATAATTAGGGTATACTGATTCCTATTATAGTGGATACCAAGCTAAAAATCTTAATCTTGACCATTGAAATGGCCATTGACAACTAAAATGACCGCCACAATTGTATACAAGAAAAGCATTGATGCAAAGCATCAAAGGGCGTCCAAACAGCAGGTGCAGATGAACTAGTAGATATATGATGACAAGATATTCTTATAAACTTTTCAATGGTTCATTGGGTTTTACCAGAATTGTATATCACTTTTGAATGAACGGACGAAAGACATTGTTCATTATTTATAACTTTGATCGGCATGCTAGAAATTAGAATATTACTTGTTATTTCTTTATGATCGTGGTTATTTATAGCAACAGATATACATGTATACAATCATTTATAATCCATATGTGTAACGCATGATCAACACCATACTTGTGTAATTGTCCCTTATTATGTTATCGCTATTAGCGAGGACCCCCTCTTAAGGTATCTGTTCACACTAAGTAACAATATGACACTTGTTATATTATTACCATGTTGATCATGTTGAGCATAATTGTTTATTATACAATAAATGTAATTTCTATTTTAACTAAAAAAATACAGATTTTATGAACATTGTTTTCTTTTCTTTTTTTGTGTGTGTTTTATGCGCTATTTTAATACTGAGTTTTTACGTTTACTACTATTTTAAGAATTCAATTGTCATAATGATCGACGATTATAAGTCAAAACTTAACTGGCAAAAGTCAGTAAATCATGGTTAATCTTTCAATATATATCAAATCTTCATGTATTATGGAGGATAATAAATAATAATTGAATAATTCATAAAATCTGATTTGTAACTTTGAATAATTCTTCGGTATCTTTACTAAACACGAATAACAAATTAAATAAAATGTTTTAAAGTTGATAGTGTCATATTAATGCCATAAAAATGTACATTTTTTTCTCAATTATTGTACATATTTATTGTTTTTATCTCATATAGATAAAATATAACATGCGACTTGTGTTGTTGGTTTTTTTTTTCGAATTGTATGTTTATGTATAATAATAATCAATCAATTCGAGAGTTGATCTGTGTTTATTTATTATTGTAACCAAACTAAGTGACAAACATTCATTTTGAAAAAAAGCTTATTTATCTGTAAAATATTTGTTCTATTCTGTAACGATATCAAACATCTACTCCAAAACCGGGAGAGACCGGACAATAAACGTGTGGTACTATTCGCCGTTCATTAATAAATCCCGTGAAAGACCGGGAATTACCGATAGGAGTACATCCCTCTATAAATAGATTTTCGGAATATTTAGGTCATCAACTCATCATTCTATTAACAGCTTTCGGAATAACATACCATAATAGCCCACTGTGTACTACAAAATGATAAGCAAAAATACCCCGAAGAGCGCGATTTATTGACGGAAAAGGTTATTTCATTTGAAAATGTTTGCATTGCGAAATTCTCCAGTTCGCCATTTATTGTACATATCGCGACTAATTAATAATCAAGCACCCTCATACCGATCGGAATGATCGGCTTTTATTATTGGCAACTATAAAAGGCTCGAGAAGTTGCTGTCGCCCTTTCACAAAATCTCATTTCATTCCAATAGGCGCCGCGCTTCGGCGCGGACGCCAATCATAATTGATAATATACTTCCAAAATCAGGAAAATCTTAAACTGAAATTTGTCATAAAGCATATTTTTGTGAAAACAAATTAACGAGATCAAAACAGAATGAAAAAAAAAACACAATCCATTCCGGCCGGATATCCAACATGGCGGACAATATTTGTCGATAAGCCTATATAGGGGAAGTAGTATAAATGACTTCTGTATATAAACATGTCAATAAAGAGATCAGAATTCAGGAGACAGGAATTCTAGTCCCTTCTCCTTTTTGAACCATCACTTTATTCGGAGTTTAGGGCAGCGCCCACTACACTCTTCCCTGTCCCATCTACTAAATCAGAGTTTCCTGATGTTTAATCCAATGCAAACATACAGAGTTGCAACTTGGATTGTTACATGTATTTGTAAAGCATTATGTGCCAGTATTTCTTCTAGTAAGATAAACAGAGTTTATTAACAACCTGAGAAGTTTCTTAATAATTTAATGGTACTTCTTAGAGCTGCTCAAAGCAGTCTACTTATTGCTGTGTGGAAATTCACTTCCCAGAGCTGCTCAAAGTAATCTACCTATTGTGGTGTGGAAATCCAAGTGTTAAGTATGATTGTCACATGGGATAACACCAATAATACTTGTAACATAACTTAACCTGACTTACAATCTTACTATTCAAGAAAATGGAAAACCTTACTGAAGCTAAGATTAATTTAATCTGAATCTTTTCTTACCACTATCAAA